TTTATTTTATTTTATTTTATTTTATTTTATTTTATTTTATTTTATTTTATTTTATTTTATTTTATTTTATTTTATTTTATTTTATTTTATTTTATTTTATTTTATTTTATTTTATTTTATTTTATTTCATTTCAATTTTTACTAATAATAAATTTAGTTTATTTCTATATCATTTTATATAATATGTTTATTTTATCGTATTTTTTTTTAAATCTTATTTCAAATTATTATTTTTTAATTAATTTTATTTTGTTTCGTTTTACTTAATTGGATTTTAATTAATTTTATTTTACTTTATTTTGCTTTTTTAATTTTTTTTATTTTATATTATTTTATTCTATTCTTTTATCTTATAATTTTTATTTTTTTTTTATATTATTTTATTCAATTTTTTTATCTTATCATAATTTTTATTTTTATTTCATTTAATGTTTTTTCGCATTATTTTTTATATCATTTTATTATATTTCAATTAAGTTATTTAATTTATTATATTACATTATTTATGTTATTTACAGTTTTTTATTATTTCAGATCAATTTTTTTTATTATATTTTGTTGTTTTGAAGGTGCTCTTCGAAATACTTATGTAATTTCCTCTGAACATTCAAATTTAACTTCTGTGACACTCAGCCGATAAGCGGCGCAAGAAAACTTATTTTATTTTTTTTATATTTCACCAAAAGCCACAAAAGTCGAGACTTTAACGCTGTCAAAAGTTCTTGTAACAACTGACTACTAAATGCTATCCATACCAATAAATCACTAACAATACGCACACCGATACGACAGCTTAAGAACTTGCCTTGTGAGCGCAACATGCGGTAAATTGGTTGTAGTTGTTGTAAGGCAAATAAAGTTTTCCAAAAAGTTCAAAGACAAACTTGTATCAGCCGTCAAAATTGTAAATGTTTAAGAAAGAATGGAGAAAAAAACGTTGGTCCACAGCAGTATTTGTGTATGCCATTTTTGGTATTAAGTTAAGTGCGTAAATGAAAAGAGGGGGTGGGAGTTGGGGGTAGAGATTGAAAAGATGGTGTATAAGAGAGGGAAAAAGGTAAATTGTGGCTAAGTTCTCTGTGATGGCATAGAAATTACGCAGCAGACTGATTTGGTAGAAGTTGGCTTACATGTAATAACAGAGAAATTGTGATTCTCGGGAGGGTTCAAGTGGGTAATGATAACCTCGAATGAAGTATGGCAATTTATTTATGAGAATAAAGTGTAAAAATAGCTTAAAATACGTATATGAATGATGTAGGAATTTATGAGCCAAGTACTATAATCAAATCTATATATAATCAAATTTACAAGAAAACAATTGCGTAGTAGAGTTCAATATCTTAGCAGGTTAGTTTTGACTCTTACTTCAAGAATACTTTCAAAAAACGTATTTCCAAGGCCGTTAGGGGCTTAAAACTTTTCAGAAAATTTTTCTTCAAGAAATTTTGCCAGTACACTTCTTTGACAACATTTTCGTATAAACAGATTTAATCTGCCAAAAATAGAATTATAATCTGCCCCTAGAAATATGCAACATTTTTCGTGTGCTGAGTATATTTGCTTTGTGAAAAATGGTGGCTTAAGTTAAATAAAGTTTATTGAAAGCATTTTCATAATGCTTTTAAGCAATTAAAGGCTACGCAGTGCCATCAGCTTTCTAGTCAGCTTTGACTCTCCCAAAATAAATTAAATGGATTATTCATAGAATTTTACTAGAAGTTTTTTAGACAAGTTTCTGCTACAAAAAAAAAAAAAAAAATAAAAATAAAAATAAAAAAAATAAAACAAATAATAAAAAGGATGTATTTAGAACCAAAAAAAATTTTAACTCAACATTGTTGCTAATAAACTCCCAAATATATTGCATATTTCTAGGCGAAATTTATGTTTCGGTTCTATAAAGGACTTTAAAGTGCTTTCTATGAAAATTTTGTTTAAGAAAATTTAAAATTTTTAAAGAATAATTTACATAAGCACTTTGACCCTCTAACGACCTTTCTTACTACTTCATTGAGGTCTTCTTCAAATACGGATCAAAGTGATTCTTTTATTGTGGAGCTTCGTAAAATTTTGAAAACTTTAAGAATTCATCTTTTTTAATGCCTTTTTACGCACCATCTCTATTCTTTACTCGGTTCAAGCCATATTTATTAAAACCACAACATTTAAAAGCTTTTTACAACCATAAAAAGTAATCTTTTCTCTCAAAATCACCACTTACTTAGCCACAAAAGACCACAAATTAAAATTAATTCTGAAATTTTCTGCCAATTTTCTCATTAATTAATATATTGAGAAAATTTCCATGCCAAAAGCACAACTTTGAGAGCATACATACACATACATACATACATACGTATGCACAGTGTACGTATAAACAAATATGTGTAAACTAAAATTCAGCCTTTAATAATCAAACAAGTTACATATGTACTAGCATACATACATACATACATTTTTAGTGCTCTTAGCTCTAACTTCATTTATAGACTTTTAAGCAGTGCATGCATATATGAGAAGTTATACGCCTTTGGCATATTCATATTCATTAGTTTCAGGCACAAAACTAGTCGTCCTTAGATGGCTTTACACACATTGCTATATTTCTTCATTTATGTACGTTAAATGTGTGCTGAAAAGTTCTCGGTCTTCTTTATATGTGAATTTGGAAAATTATCAACATTGCTTAATTGCAATTATGTTGTACACATATACATATATACACGTATACATACTTATAAATATGACTTTTCATTTGCAATTTGCGTTGCATTACTCTCTGTGTGTTGGCTTACAATTATTTACATACATACACATAGTACATATACATATGTACAATATGCTTTCTAAAGCTTTACAAATATTGAATGTGAAATAAATTATGAATTATGGTAATAAGTAATGACTGCTGGTAGGGAAAAGCTGAAATCATATTCATATATTTACAAAATTAATATGGAAATTGTCAAAAAAATAATTATAATAGAAAAATTGAGAAAAAATATAAAAGTAATAACTAAAAACAATACAATTTTTAGCAATGATTATAATTATTTTTTATTATTTTAAAACTTATTTAATTTTTTTATTTATAATTTTTTAATTATATTTTTTTTTTTATATATTTATTCTTTAAATAAAATTTTTTTTTTTAAACAAAATTTAGAAATTGTGCTTTATTTTCACATTAATTTCCATCAAGTAAATATATAATTACTGATTGATTATTTTTCGGCAAAATTCATATGAGTAGTGCCAAACTGAGCGCTTGGGATAAAAAAGAGGATTTGTTTTCGGCCAAGCCGAAGTCTTCATACCTTTCATGAGCATTTCATATGCGAGTATTGGCTTTTAGTTTTAATTTTTAATATTTAATATATTTATTCCTATATCTGAAAGCAAGGGAGCTACAATATATGATGAATTTTTTCACAATTTTTTCACATGTTTTTGTTTATTTGTAATGGGTGATCAAAGTAGAGATACTTCTTTCAATGGTCTTTTTTAACACTCGTGATGGACCAACTGAAATGTAGCCGCGCAAACATTTTAAAGCGATAATTTTCAAAAAAAAAAAAAAAAAAATGCCAAAGAATGTTTTTTCGAATTATAATAAATAAAATTCCCCATTAAGAGTGAACTTTTCGTGTTTGTCTTCTTTGAAAAAATTTCAAAAAAAAAACTGCTCCTGACGAAGAAAAAGTCATGCACAAAACGAAATGGTGCAAAAAAAGGATAGTTGGACAGCTGAAGATTTGGAACAAATCAACTTTTCAGCTGAATCAAATATTAACTTGTTGAGAGAAGACGATGGCGACCCAACGAGGCGCAGAAAAGGTGAACGCTATAGCAGATTATGCATATTACCTGCCGTGAAGCATTCCCCGTTTATCATGATATGTGGAGATACAACAAAATATGAAGCTAATTCTATTTCGATACTAGAACGAACTGTATATGTAGCAGCGTACAAAGAAATAGTCAAACATTTTTTTGTACCCACAATCAAAGACCAGTCACAACACACCCAAAATGAAATTGTTCAGGACGATTCAGCATCTTGTCATCGGGCAGCTTCAGTAAGTCAAGCATACTTTTTTTATTTAATTTTGTGATTTTCTAATAGTTTAATTCCTTCCTTCCTTATACATTAAAGTTTCCAAAGATGAAATGGGAAAATTGACCCGAGAACAGTTCGGACCGGAACAGCATTGAAAATGTTTGGTCAGTCATGAAGCCAAAAATTGGACAGAAAGAAGCGAAAACTGTCTCAGATCTTAGGAAAATCAACGAAGAAGTCTGGTATGGTAGAATCGATGAATATTAATTCAATCTACTCGAATTTACTTGAAATATTGTGCAGAAAATGAATTAATTGCTAAAGGATCACATTTACCTCGAGAAAGTAGTTCTCTATTCGACAATATCATATTTAGCGTTCAGTTGAGACTTCCGGACCAATTACACCCCTTTAAAAATCGTATTAAAATGATTTTGAAATTCTTTGCAGCCGAAGTAGCTGGCAAAGGTTGATATAATACTAAAATAGTGCTGAAATATATGTAAGAATATGTTTGCCTCATTCAAAATTATTTTCACTTACAAAATTGCCTTAAGCAAAATTATTTTTAGTTCGCTCCTTGTGAGCCCCTTTTCTCAGCGCAACAGCCACAAGCGTGATTTGTTTACACAACCGCAGAGAGTTAAGCAAACATGCTTGCTCTTCTTCTTCTTCGTCTTCTTCTTGATCTGCCACTTGTAACAAAGCTAATGTGCAAACGCTTACAAACTTAAGCCAGCGGCAAAATGCACAAATAAAATATCTACAAGACGCGCACAATAGCATAACGTCTTCTTTGTGTATGCCGTACACCTGTCTACCCGAGAAGTTGAATTGTAGCCCGCAAGCCAAATTGATTTATTTGCACCAGGCAACCAGCCATCCACTCCACTCCACTCCACTCAACCACCACTAGCATGCACACACGCGTACTTACCGATATGCCAAGGAACTGTGTTGAATTCATTGCTGCATAAATCTCATCGGCGATTTCCTTGTCTGTATAGGTGAAATCGCGTAACGATTTCTGTCGCTTCTTCAGGCGTTGCATTGTCTTATTGAATGCCAATGCTACGCTCCAGACGGCATCGTAGGCGAGCGGCGCTTCTTGATAACCCTCCGGATAGCGATCGTGATTGATGTCGTAACCTTCTTCGATGAGGGCGTGATTCAGTCGTTGGCTGTGGGAAAAAATAAAGGAAAAGTTAAAAATAAAAAAATGTTTTTTGTAAAGATTTTGAGGAGATATGAAAAATTTTTGAAGTAGAGAGCGAGAGATTGTAATTTTTAATTTCAGGAACTTTGTGGGAACGTTGTGGGGCTATGGAGAAATTGGCAGCATTTCGGAGACGCTTTATTATCTATATGGCTTTCAGTAAGGTAGACTCTTCAGACAGGAACCCGAACCCAGCGCACGGTCTACTTCTGCTTTTCTTAGACTATCCATGGTTGTATTCGGAAGGCAAAATGTGATGCCAAGAGACATTTCGTTTCTCTTGGCATGATGACATTTTGGCTCCTACCTCACAGTTGACAGTCTTTGAAATCGTAGATTAGTTCGTCTATCTTACTACCAGTATTTACATCAACCATAATGTGAGTCTGGAAACCCTACGCAGACTCAATTTCGCCTACAGATGCTACTTTGGACTGTGCAAGCACTCAGTTGCTCGCTTCCAACAACATCTTCCACATCTTCAACACTATAAATACCTCCCAAACCTTGTCTAGCTTTGAAATTCGCTTTGTTCCCCATGGGTTTATTCCACAATATTTTGGTCTCTCTACTGCAACTCTGTCACCTTAAAAATAGCAACCACAAATCGCTCTTAAATCAACTATCAAACTTACCGAAATTCCTCAGCTGTCATGCCGGAAATTGTTGTTTGATTGTTCTGATTCCACATAAGCGCTTCCGTTGTCAAGTGTCCTTCGGCGGCGATGCGCATCTGTTCAATGCTGCAGGTGATACCTTCATTTTCCAAATTCACCTCATACCAATTGTCTTCGTACCAGCCTGAAATGCAAATCAATTGACATGCACAGAGATTTGAAGTTACTTAACGGTATACACAGCGACGGAGATGTATAAACATAATTTTATGTAAATTTATATGGACACATAGAGATATATATCAAAGCGTTTATATGTAAAAAATAAACTTAAAATAATAATAAAATTATATAAAACAAAAAAAAATAACATAAAACAAAATAAAATAAAATAAAATAAAATAAAATTAAATAAAATAAAATAAAATAAAATAAAATAAAATAAAATAAAATAAAATAAAATAAAATAAAATAAAATAATAAAAAATAAAATAAAATAAAATAAAACAAAGTAAAATTAATTAATATAAAGTTAAATAAAATAAAATATAGTAAACTAAAATATATTAAATTAAAATGTAATAAAATAAAAGGGAAATAATGAAAATTGTTAAAATAAAGTAAAATAAAGAAACTAAACATGGTAAAATAGTTTGTTTTAAATAAACTATTGCAACGTACATTGGTTCCGTAATCGGGCACGTATGAGCTATATATATGTATGCATAATATATGTGCTCGCATATTTCAGAGTTATATTTATTTTTGCTTTTCTTCTTGCTCACTTAAGCATGAGTTGTTAGTGTTCGCGTCTTTTGTTATTGAAATCGAATTTCAAGTAGCATCGATTCGATATGCAGATTATTCCCACAAATCAAAGCATACATTCAGGAGCATTCATGATGATGCATAGTTTGTGCACTGCAGCGTGAGAGGAGTGCATTACAGTGATTACAGTTATAGTAATCAGTATGTATTTTCATCTTATTTTATTTCTTCGTTTATTTTCTCTTTTATTTTTTTTTTCTATTTTCCGACGGAAACTTAAACCTCAATTTCTGCAGCGGGAATTTATGGCTTTTTAGTAAGACTATTTAGTTACTGACAAAAGTTTTTATTCTCTTCTTTGCTCTAATGTGATTACTAGCGTTCTGTGATTAAGTGGCTGAGCGACTTTTTGAAAAACTTTCTACATTTTTTAACTTATATTTATGTATGCAGCTGCTTAAGTTAGTTATCGGTGGAGAGTTATTCATAGCGAATAGAACCATAGAAGGCCACTTTATTAAAAAAAAAATATTCAAAGAGGATGGGAAAGGCGGAAAACTGAAAGTTGTTCTTCTTGTCTTCCTCTCAGCCTATTACCAAAAATATTTGCATATGTGTGTGTATTAACATAACATAAACTAATTTTACCAATCCCTTTAATCACTTAATGCCTATGCTGCTTTCAATTGCGGACACGTAAATTCTTCATTGTTTGCGTGAGACAAATAAATGGTAAAACAAAAAATAAAATTGAATTAAAAATAGAATTGTGATAAACCATAAAGCACTTAAGCTTTTGAATACTAACTTATTTAGTGTAATCTTTTATACATTTCAAATACAAACTTGCAATTGGTTTTTGGGTTTTGAGGCCAAAAATATCAACTGCCAACAAAAATAAACCAAATGTCGACATTGATTAAAATTGTCAAATGTCCGAGTTGATTAAACACCGAAAATGCATTAGAAATGATAGAATTTTGCCTCGATTTTATTGCATTTGTGGATAGTTTCATTGTATTCCAAATACAATTAAGGCCATCTGTTTTCACTGATTTATTTGTTTGGTTTAAAAATAAAACGATGAAGAAGGCATTCAAGAGAAATGCAGTAAAAGTTGATTAAAAATTCATAGAATTCTTAACAGCAATTTTATTTACGGTTAGCCGCAGTCACAAATTTAGTAAACTGTAAATAAGTTGAGCAACAAAAATACATTTAATGGTTTCACGGTAAAACTAAAAATTTTTTCCCTCACTTATTTGGTTAATACTTTATTTTTAAATAAATAAAACAGTTCAGCAGTCAAGTAGTAGGCTGTGTTTGAAATCAGCCTATATGTAGGCAGCGTTTTCTGCTTTTTAATGTATGCACAACGGGAAAAGGTAAAACGTTGCCTATATTTAAGCGCTTATTTTAGTGCTACTCTTTATGAATTTTTAAAATTCTTTTGTCTCTGTTTTTTTTTGCATTTAAAGTCACATTGATTAAAAGAAATAGCTCAATTATTTTTTTTCACACCCACCGATGTGTAAGCATCATAAGCCTTTAAAATTCAATTTTCTTTCGCTCACTCCATTCATACGCTCAATAAGCTGCCTTGACATGCGAAATATAATATTTCAAAGCAAATCCTTTTAAGCCGGATTTCCAGCAGTACAACAGCATTTTCGCACAATTAAAGAAAAGTTTTACATCCGTTTTACTTGCTGCTTACTTAAATATCCGCTTTTGTTGGTACTTGTGTTTGTGTTTTTCCGCAGTCTTAATTTAATTTTCCTATCCCTTTACCGGTCGTTCCACTGTTAGTTGGTTAGTTGTTTGGTTTTTACGATAAAATGGAAATTTCAACTTGAACGGGAAAATTTAATCCGTTTAGCGGCAATTGAAGTTTATGATGAAAGCAAATTTATTGAAAATTAATAAGCTGTGTTTGTTAAAGGATTTTATGAAGTGTTTTAAGCTTGAAATGAAGCTGATGATGCTAATAAAATTATTTTGGTAGTTGGCAGTGGTGTAAAGAAGGGGTTGCTGAGCTTAAGAGAGATCAGAAATGTTGATACTATAAGCTGCAGATTACGTAAATAACATTTGAGAGGATCTCATTTAGTTTATTTACTTCTTCGTGGGCTAATTTTCTTTTCATTTTATGTTTTATTTTGTTTCCTTTTATTTATTTTTATTATTTTGTTTGAAATTACTTTAATTTATTTTTTTTTAAATCATTTTGTGTAGTTTCCTTTTTTATATTATTTAAATTGTTTTATTTTATTTTATTTTATTTTATTTTATTTTATTTAATTTTATCTCATCTGATTTATTTTATTTTATTTTATTTTATTTTGTTCCATATTATTTGGTTTTCATTCATTTTAAATTTAATTTTTTTATTTAAGTTTGATTAAATTTTGAAATTATTTTGATATTAAGTAATTTTTTATTTCCTTTTTTGTAAATTAATTTCTAATAATTTAATATTATTTTAATTTAAGTGTTGTCTCTTTTTTTCAACTATTCAATTGTTCATGCTACATTATTCTCGTGCAGCCACAAACACTTTTGACAGCTTTGAACCGCAAATTATTGCCACACCCCAGGCAATGCCGGGCCTCGAAAGCAAAATACCCAATTGTGGGATTTTACAATTGGCACACAAAAACACCCAAATCTCCAATGCACATCGCTTGCCGCCGCCTCTTCGTGGCTGAAAAGTGCCCAAAGAAAAACAAAAGAAAGTTCAAACAAACAAATTAAAGTTTTCGCTGAGTGCAGCAATGAATTTGTATTTATTGTAGAAATTCTATAATAATACCAAATCGACACACCCACACACATATATTTACATACACATATACAAGTTACACAATTGATTATCACACAGTCATTTGCACTTAGTTTTCTTTGTGGAGAATTTTGGCTATTTTATTTCCTTGAGTTTGGAATTTTCTTGTTCGTGTTATTTTTGTTGTTGCCATTGTTATTGTTATTGTTGTCTGGTGAAAATTGATGGCAAATAAATAAAAGTTTCTTCAATGTTGTTGTTGCTGTTAGTGCTGCTGACTTTTGAACTGTGTTTGTTGTTGTTGTTGTTGTTGTTTTTTTGTTGTTGCTGATTCTTGCACTTTGCTGCTGCTATCAGCAGCTATTGGTACTAAGGCCGCAAATGAGTTGCTTTATTGTTGTTTCCCCTTATATACCTACAACGTCGCAAAAATTTTTAACGGAACATTCATTTCAGTTCACCTCCTCAGCTCGCCACTTTTTGCATTATTTTCATTTTAATTATTTTTTCATATTTTCAATCTTTTTTTTTACTTCTCAGCTGTTGGCTTGACTTTTCTGCATTTCTTTTTATACATATTACCGTTGTGTTTACACTTTGGTGGTAATTGTTTTCTATATGTATGTGTATGAATTGTTTATTTGTTTCAAGTCGTGACTCTTGCGTAATTTTGAGGTTAGGGTTAGGAGCATGACTTTTCAGTTATTGTTAATTTCTTAGTCCAAATGCCTTAAGCGGCATTGCACGTTCTTGTGCTTCTTCTGCTAGCACTAATTTCAATTCTTCTTCTTCTTCTTTGTCTCTTCTTCTTCTTCTACTTCAACTGTTCGTTATTTCAGTGGAAATTCCATTTTGAAATCTTTGGCCACAAAGTTAGTTAAAATTTAATTTCTTCCAAATGTTTTGTCAAAATCTCAGGTGGGATCGGTATGAGAAATTCATTAACTCGCTTTTGTCCTTTGTGCTTGCGTTTGGCGGCATTTATTCAAGTGTCAAAAAGGTGAAATTTTGTTATGTTTTTGTTAGTGAAAGAAAATTAATTTCCTTCTTTTTGTTGTTCGAAATGAAATGTAGAAGTATATACATATATATATATTGTGTTTATTGTAAATTGTAGTAACTGTTTATTCTCTTCTCTTTTTGTTTGGTATTCCAGGAGGAAATATTTTCACTTGAATGGTGAGTTTAAAGAATTTGTTAAGAGGTCAGCAATTAACACGACTCAAGAAGTCACTTCCTTATAAACAACTTAAGAATTCTACGGGCTATTGTAGGAGAGCGATTCTCCCACGTAGTATGGCGTATGGGATAAGATTTTCTTCATCTCTTTTCTGGTATTCTACGTCTAAAAGGCAGAAATTGATATCTGCATGATCCAGCGACTGGTCTCTTAAGCTGCTCTGTTCTCCGAAACCTTACTCTGAACTCGAGGCAGTCAAAACCACCAAGATGAAGTGCAGAAACAGCAGATAAAACCCCCATATCTCGCCCACATGTTCACGTAAGGAGTGCAGGACAGGTTTTGGTCTAATGTTGGGCAACAACCTACCGGCATTCCATGCAAGCAAAATGGCCTTTAGTAGCAACGATACTTGTATGATGTGCTTAGAGGAAGGCCTGAGTGGGACATTAGA